AAGGATTGAGGGAACTATTTGTTCTTTCTTAGTGTTCATTAAAATAATATGTTGGCTGGGGGACCAGCAGGTGGTGGCTAAGGCACCTGACTCCCACATGGCTGACTGCAGTTTGAGTCCTGGACTGAAAGGCTTGAAAATTATTATTGACTGATATGCATGGTATTCCTTCTGGAAAAAGAAATGTAATACACTGTAAAGTTACATGTGATTCAATGTAATATAAACAAGATTATGATGATAATAAATAAATAAATAAAGTTTTTAAAAATCTGCCAGGCGAGTATGTATGTGTGCCCACTTTTCCTCTCTGGCTCTGTCCAGCTAGCACATGTGTCCTATGGCAAAACCTAAAAAAATAAAATAAAGAAATAATGTTGTATTCTTGTCACTTCTTGGATTGGTAGGAAGACGATATTCTCCCCATTTGATAGTTGAACACACTGAGACCCACTGAGGGCAATAACCTCCCTACGCACAAAGCCAGTCTCACAGCAGGGTTTGGACCCAGATAGACCATGCTAGGACTGCCCATTGACCTTCTCATTAAGGAGCTATATTTCTAATACAAATATCTGTGGACACTGGATCAATAGGAACCACTTGGCTACATTTCTTATTTCTCTCTTTTTTTCCTCAAAATTTTGTAAAGTGTGTCCTGATCTTGACTTTCTTGCCCACAGAGAGATGGGAGTCGAGTTCAAGTCAAAGAACAAAAAGTCTCAACTTCGGGAACTTCTCTGCCATTAGAAACATGGCCTCTACAAAGAGCGTCTATAAACCTTCAGTGGATCAAATGGTTCTGGAACCTCCGAGTCAGTCCAGAGCATGTGGTGGGATTGAGTCAGCCATGCTGCCCTGACTCCAACAGTAAGGGAGAGTGAGTAACAAAAGAGACTTTGGGCCAACCAGCTTAAAAGCAACTGGATACCACATGGCCAACAGCATGGTTCAAGTCCCAGACCTGGTAACTTGAAGAACACTCCAGGCATGTGTGTGTACCCAAAGTCCTGAGTGTAGAATGGAAGAGAAGGGATTATGGCATGGCCATCCCCCTGGGGGTGATTTCTCACTTTCTCTTTCTCGCTCCCTCTCTGTCTCTCTCTCTAGCAAGCATACACATCCCACAAGCAAAACAAAACAAAACAAAAATTTAAGGAAAAAGAGACCTTAAAATTGTTAGAAATCACCCCTCCCCCCACCCCAGGAAGAATGGCCATGCCACAATCCCTTCTCCTTTATTCTCCTCTTGGATTTTAGGTGCATACACACCAAGCGTTGAGTTTCAAGCCACCGGTCCGGGACTGGAACCATGGTCAACTACATGGGAGTCCAACAATGTAACCATTACACCATCTCCTGGTCCCCACCCAACGCATTTTTATTGAGGTTTCCTACATGCCAGGCCCTCACCTAGACTATAGGTAAGCAGGGAAGGAAATGTGGCCGTGAATCTTTGCCCTCATAAAATTTCATTTTTATGGTGGGGGCAGGAAGTGAGTGACCAAATTACATGGCATGTTGGAAGGTGATAAACCATGGAGGGAAACAAAGTGAACAGGGAAGGGGACTTGGAGGGGATGGGGAGCCACATTTGAAATGCACAGGTGTCCAGGCGAGTCGGCAGTGGAAAGGTGGCATCTGAGCACACGGGAGCCACGCAGAGATCTTAGAGGGGAGCAGCCCCTGCACAGCACGTTTGGAGGAAGTTCCAAGGCAGAGGTAGGGTGAGAGTTGTGGCCACACGGGCTACAAGGAGGACAGATGGACTCTACAAGGCACCGTGCAGTTGTCAGCTTCCACGCTGAGGATGCTGGGAAGCTGCCTACGTGTGTGGTCAGGGCAGGTGAACAGATCTCCCTGAGCTTTCTAGATGTCTCCTCCTCTGTGAAACAGAGCTGAGACATCAGCCTACCTGGGGCAGTTGCATTGCCTGACTTAACTGAGACTCACAGTGACCAGCACAGGAGGGCTGCCCGCCTTCTTGCCAGGTTTATTGTTACACAAATTCCACTCTCCACTGGTTGGCAAGCACCTGGCTTTGTTCAAGGGCCCCGATGGAGAGAGAGAGAGAGTGTGTGTGTGTGTGTGTGTGTGTGTCCTTGGCAGGATCCTTTTCCTGTTTTACCTTACTCTAGTGTAATTCTAGTACTTAAAGTTATAGAACTTTTGAACAAGGTAGCACCAAAACACTAAACAGAAGAAAAAGTGAATGTTACAAAATTAGGGACGAGCTGGCTGCTTTCGTTAGACTTTGTGATCTTGTCTGTGTGGTTGGTTATTTACGAATACTTCAGAACGATGTCGTGAAGCTGGAAGACAAGTGCATGAATGAACGTGAGCTTTCATCCCACAGGGAGTGAGTCAGTCAATATTTGAACTGCCCAAACGAGCAGCCCTCCCTGGAGCAGTCACTCAAGCAATTCAGACATAGTTAAAGGACTTTGCCCCCAAGGGCTAGCTAGAAAAGACTGGAGATGATCAGTGTCTAAGATACTACAGCTGGTTAGAACGCTCCTACGGTGCATTTGCCTTGCATGCACAGGGGTGCCCAAAATCTTGAGAGGAGAGGGGATTTGGCGTGGTCCCTCCGTCTGTCTCTCGCCAGCAAGTGGATGTGCCCTATAACCAGAAAAAAAAAAAAAGATAAATGAATCAAGGAGCAATTCCCACTAAAACTTTCCTTACTTACATCTGCAAGTTTGGTGATATTGTAGAGAAATTAAATAAAGTTCTAGGTCTAAAGAGCAAATCATTTATTTAATAAATGGCCCCACTTCTTGCAGAAGCTCAGTCTTTGTGTGCCATGGGCCCTGTTGGCTCTCTGTGAAAGCCTATGATCCCGTTCTTGGAATTGTTTCTAAATGTATTTAAAAATGCATAAGCTGGCAAGGAAAACCACACCTATTAAAATGTAGTTATCAAAAAAAGGTTCTACGAGCATATACTATGATACGATATGTGCTTTCTTATTAACACTATCAGTGAGAAGATCGGGTGGGAAATCCACGACTGTCATTTTGCAGTAGCAATAACTACAAGTGATCTTCCAAATTATCAGCGACTCTGCTGTGATGTGAGAATATCTGATTTCCGCTGGTGACAAATTTTGGGTACTGTTAATACTGATGTGGTCTGCATAGATTCAAAATGAGAAAAATGTTAAAACTCACATCAGTGTTTGTACATATGTGTGTGTGTTGGTGTGTTTATCAGTTTATCCTGAAATCTACCCAAGGATCTCTTAGAAGTCTATAGACACCAGATTTAAGATTCCTGGGGAGAGATCAGTTAGCTCAAGAGTTCCAAGAGGGACCAGCAGATGGCGTAATGATTATGTCACTGCAGTCCCATGTAGTTGACTGTGGTTCAAGTCCCAGATCCAGTGGCTTAAAATTCATGCCAGGCACGTGTGTGTGCCTAAAATCCCTAGAGGAGAATGGAGAAGGGATTGCAGTGCGGCCATCCTCCTTAAGGATTGATTTATCTCTTTCTATTCCTCTGTCTCTCTCTGTTTCTCTGGTGAGCATCCACTGTATAGCAGAAATCTCTCCAGAAAAAATAAAGAGTTCCAAGAGATACAAATCAAGTATTCCCCAGGAGTTGCTGGCAGAGAGGCCCAGACTCAGATTCTTATGCCTGCCCCTTACAGGCTGCGTGACTTTGGACAAGTTCCTTAACTGTTCTGAGCCTCAGTGTCCTCACCTGTAACGTGCTGCAAACACCGACCGCCTCCTGGGAATATGATACTGAAAGGGCTCTAGACAGTGCCTGGCCAGCTGCTCAGAGAAGAATAGCTGCTACTTCTGTATCTGTTGTGCCCGTTTTGGTTTTGACTTGGGAAACTAATGCTTTTAACAGATTCAGATTGGGTTGTTGATAACTTTTAGAAATTATTCTAGGTAGGTAACTATTACAGCTTGAAATCTGTAGTGTGGACAAAGAGTAGAGGGCCTATTTATCTCCACTAGATTTTTCTATGAGGACTTCGAGCTTCTTATCAGAAAAGCACTTTGATCAGAGCTCATAGCGCTTAACAGCTTCAGAGAAGCTCACGCACGTGCCAAAGGCTTACAGAGAGCTGGGCATTGCAGGCTCTGCAAATGGAGCCACTGTGGTTGTCCTGTGGCCCATCTGCCGGGACTGTCCTGGCTAATGCGAGGTCCCCACGTCAACATTGGTCATGTCCTTCCCACCCACACAAGCATCCTTGTTTGCCTGGAACAGTAGCTGTCACTGCTGAGAAGGACCACCTTTCTCCACGAGCTGCCAAGAAGTTTAGAGGACATTATTTTCTCCTTAGAAGAATTCAGAAAGTGGGATCAGCAGATGGCATAATGGTTATGTCACTCGACTCGCACAGTCGACCGCAGTTCAAGTGTTGGACCCAGGAGCTTAAAAACTCATACCGGGAGAGAGACAGAGAGACAGAGACAGTGAGAGGGAAAATGAGAAACCACCCTCCGAGGGAATGGCCACACCACAATCCCTTCTCGTCCAGTCTCCTCCTGGGATCCTGGGCGCACACACACACATGCCTGGTGCGAGTTTGAAGCTACTGTGTTCAGGACTTGAACCACTGCTAACCATGTGAGAGTCCAGCAGCGTAACTGCTATGCCATCTGCTAGCCCCCAGGTCCTGTGATTTATTTCTTTTTTCTTAGAGAGATTTTTGCTGTAGGGTGAGTGCACTCACCAGAGAGACGGAGCTCGCCAGAGAGACAGAGAGAAAGCAAGAAATAACCCTCCGGGGAGGATGGCCATGCCTCAGTCCCTTCCCTTCCAGTCTCCTCTCAGGATTTTGGGCACACATGCACACATACCCAAGGTGTTTTAAGCCACCAGGCCCAGGACTTGAACCACGGTCAACTACCTGGGATCCAGTCATGTAACCATTACGCCATCTGCTGGTCCCAGTCCTGTGATCTTGATGTGAATTCCTAGATTTGTTTTCAGTTCTGGAAAATTAAATAGGAGAACCGAATTTCATGGTTGGCATGTATGGAACATGTGTGCTTGTGTCGGGGGAAGGAAGGGGATAAAGGATTTTAAATGCAGCCTGAAAATTAAATGCTCATATGACAGAGTTCCAACCGACTCCACAACCACTTGTCAAGTTTCAACAATTTCCCAGCCGTCCTCTGTGCCCAGCGTTGTGCTACTTACTCATCCAGTGTTTACTATTTGCTACAGTCCAGGTGGGGAGGGGTACACGGAGAACAGCCCCTTCTTCAGGTCACTTCCTGAGCGAGGACCCCAGACAGGCCGTAGGTAGGTACTGGTTGGTGAAGATACGGAGGCACTGGAACCCTGAAGCACTGTTCATGGCCACGTAAAATGGTGCAGCCACTTTGGAAAACAATCTGGCAGTTCCCCTGTTGGTTAAATAGAATCACGTCCCACAACGTGTTTTTAAAAGGTATTGACAGGGACCAGCAGTTAGCGTAATGGCTGTCACTGGACTCCCACGTAGTCGACCACAGTTCGCATCCCAGACCCGGTGGCTTAAAACTCAGGCCGGGCGCGTGTGCATGTGTGCCCAAGAACCTGAGAGGAGAATGGAGGAGAAGGGATTGTGGCGTGACCATCCCCTCTGGGGGGTGATTTCTCGCTTTCTGTCTCTCTGTCTCTGTCTGGCAAGCACACGCGCCCTATAGCAAAAAACTCTCCAAAAAAAAAAAAAAAGGTATTGACAGTGTTATCATAAATTCATAAAACACAAATGTATTGCAGAAGCACTTGAGTGTTTTCAGCTCTGCACTTGTCATTATGGTTTTTTCGATAAATAACTGAGTGACATGACAATAAAATGTCTGGTGAAGGAAAAGTTGCCCGTTCTACAAACTTGAGAATGTCCATAGGAAATTCTGCTCCAAGAAAATGAGCAGAGGTAGATTGCATGCTCACTATCAGCTAAGCACCACCAAGGTTCTTTCACTCCCGTTACTTGTCTAATTCCCCAATGTTGCAAAGTAAGCATTCTGATGCCCATTTTACAGATGAGAGATGTTAACTAAACTGACCGCATTTACACAAACGGTGCATGTTAACTAAACTGACTGCATTTTCTATTAGGAGTTATCCTAATAGAAATCTAACAGGCATGGCTGTGAATCATATCACCCCAAAACTATTGAAGACAATATGAGCATGTGATTGGGGCCAGCAGGTGGCACAGTGGTTCAAGTGCTGGACTCCCACATAGTCAACCATGGTTCGAGTCCCAGACCTAGCAGCTTGACACTCATACCGGGCATGTGTACGTGCCTGCCCAAAATCCCAAGAGGGAAATGGAGAGGAAGGGACTGGGGTGTGGCCATCCCCCTCAGGGGTGACTTCTTGTTTTCTGTCTCTGTTTCTTCAGCAAGCACATGCACCCGATAGCAAAAATCTCTAAGGGAGAAATAAAAAGCGTGCATTGGTGTTTATGAGTCTGTGGGTTCAGCCAGGCGGTTCTCCTTGCTGAGCTCCCGTTATTCGTCTAATTCCCCAATTTTCTGCTGATCGGCAGACCCTTCGGATGTCGAGAGCCGGCTGGCTGTGGGCTGGTCTATGATGTCTTCAGGTGAGACGGGTCCCTTCACCAGGGCTCTGTCTCCCGTCCCGGTGGCCATGGCAGTAGCAGGGTTTCCAGACATAAACAGCTTTGCATGAAGTGTCTCAGGCCAAGGCTGGCAACTGGCAGGCTATACTATTCCCACTGTATTCTCATAGTCAAAGCAGGACTCGAAGCCGACAGACAGTCGGCGAGTGGGGAAAAGACCCCATCTCTCTCCAGAAGGCTGTGCAAAGACAGTACTTATGCTGGGAATGGATACAAGGAGGAACAGGAGAAAGGCCATGTTTTTGTAATCAATCTATTCTGAAAGGGGGGTGCTATTTATTAGCACAATAAAGGGCAGATAATGAGATAAAAAAGGCTCCCTACTTAACCCTGAACTTTGAAACCAAGTCTCCGCTGTGGAGAATAGTCGGGCAGTTTCTCGTTCACATAGCACGCACCTATTGACCTACCCCAGGACCTAGCAGTCCCGTTCCTAGGTACCTATCCAAAAGCAATGAGCACACACGTTCCCCAGAAGACTTGCGCGGAAAGGCTCAGCCAGCCAAAAACTGGGATCAAAGTCTATCACTAGGTAAACAAAATACCGTGTATCCACACCAAGGGGCCCAGGCACATTTAAAAATGAACCAAGGATGCACGTCTAACATGGACGAACCACGAACACTGCAGTATCGACAGAAGCCAGACGCACCAGCGAACATGAAGTTCTAGAACTGGCACACTTGAACCCTGGCGATAGAAACTGAAAGCGCGAGGGAGGGTGAGTTGTTACTGGAAGGAGCCTGAGGGAATTTACTGGGCGACGGAAGGTTCTCTATGAACTGGGGCAGTGGTTACAAGGATGGAGACATGCGTTGATACTCATAAAACTACTTAAAATCTGTGCAATTTATTGTATGCAAATTGGACTCAATTAATACTAATCATAAACTACAGCAGGGCTTCAAAAGACTTTCTTAGAAAGGCTGGGAGGACCTGGCAAGGTTTCGCTGTGAGCATGAGGGCTCTGTGAGTCACAGTAATGGGAAGCATGAGATCGGGGGCCTGGGAGCCCCCTGGAAAACTTGTGCACATTGAATGTGTCCTTACCTGACCCTGCTCCCTGGTACGACAGAGGAGCAGCTATTTACCTTTTCAAGAGACATGCAGGAAATATCAACGAAACGTGCATGTAAATTCACTCCCACTGGCTGTGGCTCTGGGGATTGGCCTAGAGAGAGTTCAGCTTTGTTTTCCCAGGAGTTCGCTGGCAGGAGGCTCAGGTGCCACCTTCCGGGAGTCAGATGGCAGGAAGGAGAGGAAAGATCACAGGGAGCCTCGTAGCTTCCTGTAGTCAGACCTGCGCAGAGAGTTGTTGAAGCTGTTCCGTTTATTCTGCGGAGAAACCAGTGTAATTAGAAAATCACTCAACAACTTGTGCTGTTTGAACAAGGGCGCTAAGAAGCTCTCTGCAGTCAGATTGAATCACACGAATGAAAATCCTGGTGCAGAACCCTCAAGCCCGCCCTGCTGAGTGGGGCAGAGGTGGGGGCCGGAGAGTCAGGGAGCACAGCTTCCAGCTAGAGGCTTCTTCTGACTCCACCCGCCGCAATTCAGGAGACCACTCTGTTTGCTCCATTTCAGAGACGAGCACATTGTGGCTTCAACTCGCTCAGACTTGTCCCTTGGTCTGTGCTTTCCAAGTTTGGAGTTCCTTGTTAGAAAGGGGTTTGCATTTGATATTCTCTTTTGCAAATGATTTCAAAATAATCTTTCTGTATTCTTGCCAGGCATCTGCTCAACCGTGTATTTGGGTTTCCAATTAGGGACCCAAAGTTGCAGTACTTTTCTCGTGGGGGGGAACGGCAAGAAAAGAGAAGCAGGCTGAGCTGTAAAGGATGAGTTCGTGCCAGCAGGAAGGCTTTGTTTCTGCGGGAGGAGGAGAGGGGGCTGGGTGAGTCACAGTGCCACAGAGCCCACGTGATTGGCGTCCACACTGCCAGCAGGGATTTCGTTCCTGTGCAGTTGTTTATCCACCATATTAAATCATGGCTGCTAATCTGGGTCTCACCGTTTTTATAGTTGCATTCATTTGTAAATTTGCTTTCACTTTCAGTCTCTTGAGGAGTCTTTGGCGTAGAATTTACTTAGTTCTCACATTGGTCTACATTTATGTTATATCATTAATTATGTATATGTATTTAAATGATTTCTTTAATTTTATTTATTATTATTATTACAATTACTTTTTTTAAATTGGCCAGGGAAAGTGAGAAAGCAAGCCTCCAGGTCCGGAACTTGAACCATAGCTAGCCATAGGGGAGTCCAGCACCTTAACCAGCATGCCACATGCTGGTCCATTTTCCTGAAGAGCTATCTAACCGACGAGTAGTCAAAGCTATACAAATAAAAGGCAAGCCCAAGGTCCTGATTACACCAATATTTCTGAGGGAGCTTGTAGAATGTATTTGACCTCTCTGAATCTGTTTCCCCATCAGTAAAATGGGGGTAATAGTCATACCTGCCTTTAAATAGGTGAGTGATAAACGAGGTAACACTCAGAAAGGGATTTAGCAAATAGTGTGTGAGTCAGTGAGAATTACCTGCCTTGAGCTGAGGCTGATAAAAATGTTTTCTTTTAATTAACCATAGGCCTAAACAAACATCTCTCAGGCTTCCAAGTGTGCTCAGCAAACGGTGAGCTTTTCCTAGGAAGTTCTGCTGGGAAGAAAGAAGAAGGGAGAGAAATCAACATCCCAGCCTGTCTTTACTGGTTTGATAATCCAAGACATTACTTTGGAGCAAGAAGAAGTGTCCTAAACCTTTATTAATCACAGACCAAGGTTGATTACCAGTGATTCTTCCCCCCCTCCCCCGGAAACACAGCAGGGGTTCTCCTGGCATCTGGATAGAGATCGGAGATGCTGCTCAGCTTCCTACAGAGCGCAGCCCGGCCTCCAGCACGGACTCACCCAGAATTCAAGGAACTCTGCTCGCAGGATCCAGTGTAATCCGATGGATGGCTGAAAGGAGTGTGACAGAGTGACCTGGTCTCACCACCTCTTCTCCCTCCGTGTGTCTAGGACTGAAGTGAAACCTTTTGGAAACACCCTCTCAGCTCAGCCCACGTAGACTGTTAATCCTCAACTCAGTGGCCTCCAGGCCTATCACGCTCTAGATCTCTGCTCCGTGATCTGGTAAACCATGAGACGAGCCCATGACAGCGTGTTGAGATGGGGGCGCAGTGGTGAATATTTGGGGCTTCACTTTGCAGTCTGGCCCATATATGTTCACAACTGTTTCCCTACCCGCTCCCCATGTGATTCTGGGGGAGTTTTTTTTTTTTTTTTTTTTTTTTACTTTTCTAAAAGTTTGTTTCCTTATATAAAAAGGGGAGCTAACCGTAGCCAGGATCTCAGGGTTATAAAAGAACTGGACACTGTGAAGTCTTTATTTCATTTTCATTTCACCTGAGGGCACGTGTGCTTGACAGAAAGTGAGAAAGTAACCCTCACGGGGTCAGCAGGTGGTGTGGTGGTTAAGGGCCTGTGGACTCCCACATGACCGACTGTGGTTCGAGTCCCAGACCTGGAAGCTTGCTTTCTCACTTTCTCTCTCTCTCTCTCTGTCCACCTCTGGTCAAATTCAAAATAAATAAATAAATAAAGTTAAATAAAATAATTTTTTTTAAAAAGTAACCCTTATGGGGAGTGGTCAGGCTGCAGTCCCTTCTCCTCCATTTGTCCCTCCTTCAGGATTGCAGGCACACACGCACACATGCACCCAGCATGTTTCTCAAGTCACTGGATCCGGAACATGAACTGTGCAAATGGCCATGTGGGATTCAGCTGCTTGCTTTTTTAGAAAATTTTATTTACTTTTTATTTATTTATTTATTTATTTATTTTTTGAGATAGAGACTTTCACCATACAGCGTATACACTCACCAGAGAGACAGACAGTGAGAAATCACCTCCCCAGGGACGATGGCCACGCCACCATCCCTTCTCCTCCGTTCTCCTCTCAGGAGTGTGAGCACGCACGCACATGTGCACAGTGTGAGTTTTAAGTCACCGGGTCTGGGACTCAAGCCTCAGTCGCTATGTGGGAGCCCAGCCACATAACCATGATGCCATCCCAATTATTATTAGTTTTTAACCTGACCAGAGAATGACACGGAGAGAGAGGGAAAGTGAGAAAGCAAGCCACCAGGCCTAGGCCTTGAATCCTGGTCGATCATGTGGGAGTCCAGTGCTACCATGCCACATGCTGGCCCCTTGGGATTCAGCTGCTTTAACCTCCAGCTCTGAGCTGGCCCCTGTGAAGTCCTTACCCTACGGGTAGGTAAATGGTGAGGCATCAATAGATTAAAATAAAAGGAAGAGAAGGAAGAGAGAAAAAGAGACGCACCCTGGACAGCTACTTTATTAAGGCCTGTCAGAGCCAGTGCATCTGACCTGTAGGCCCGCGGCAGCCAGCGTAACAGACAACACCAGATCAGGCAAATCACAGAGAAGACTGCGAATACAAGTTGCTGGACAAACCTGTTTCTAAAAGTACGGATGCCGAACCAATGAGCCTAGGTGCCAAGAAAGGAATTTAAAGGACGGTGCTTTGCCAAGACGTACATTTATTGGATCAGAAGTAAATGTCATTCGTTCATCTGTGTCAAAAGTCAGCTTCAAGTCATGAAGCTAGGGAACATCGCTATAACGTGTATGACAGAGAGTTCATACTCTATATATAAAGAGAGCGTACAGAGGTAAAAGCATTCAAAGAAAAGCAACAACCGCAAAGCGACATAAAAAGCTGATAAACAGACGCAGTGATGCTCAACTCATTGGCAAGACTGCTGTATTGCACACCTCTGGGGGCTCTGTGCACACCCTGGTCCATTGAAATGATCCTCCCAAATGCATTATTTCCAAAGACGCAAAACAAAACCCGCGCTTTTCAGGACTTAGCGTCCCTCCATCTGGAGGGCTAGAGGCCATTCTGAATATGTAGAGTGGCCACTTCACAGGAGAGAAAGATGCAGTTCGCAGCCTGCCTGATATTCGGGGTAACTCTGTTTCATAAACAATAGCAACGTTAAAAATTGAAACAATGAAAATCTCGTGATATTGGGGGACATATTTAACAACAGCTTTATTGACATGTAATTGACACACAATAAACTACATATTTAAAGAGTACGATTTTTTTTTTTTTTTAGAGAGAGACTTTTGCTATAGGGCGTGTGCACTCATCAGAAGAGACAGAGAGAGAGACAGACAGACAGAAAGAAAGTAAGAGATCACCCCTTGAGGGGACGGCCACACAGCAATCCCTTTTCCTCCATTGTCCTCTTGTGATTTTGGGCACACACATACACGTACCCGGTGTGAATATTAAGCCACCAGGTCTGGGACTTGAACCACAGTCAACGTGGGAGTCCAGCAATGTAACCATTTGGCCCTTTGCTGGTCCCAGGGTACAACATTGTATGCTCTGTCTTATGTGTGTACACGTGAAACTACCATAAATCAATATATTAAGCATATCTTCTATCCAAGAATTTCATTGGTAACCCTCCATTCTGTTCTTCCCCTGACCCCATCACTAGCCAACCACTCTAATCTGCTTTTGTCACTCCTGGTTATTATCACTATAGGTTAGTGTCACTATGGGTTCATGTCACTATGGATTAGTGGACACTTTCTAAAGTTTTTTTTTGGAGAGGTTTTTTTTTTTTTTTTTCCGCTATAGGGCGCGTGCATTCGCCAGACAGAGACATAGAGAGAGAAAGCGAGAAATCACCCCCCGAGGGGGGATGGTCACGCCGCAATCCCTTCTCCTCCATTCTCCTCTCAGGATCTTGGGCACGCACGCACACGCGCCCGGCGTGAGTTTTAAGCCACCGGGCCTGGGACGCGAACCGTGGTCGACTACATGGGAGTCCAGCGACATAGCCATTACGCTGACTGCTGGTTCCCACTTTCTAAAGTTTTAATCAATGAAACTATACAATATATTTCCTTTTTTTGGTCAGGCTCCTTTTGTTTAGCAAAATGATTTTTAGATTCACTAGTGTCACTACCTGTATCAATAGTTCACTCCTTTTCATTGCTGAGTAGTATTCCATTGCATGGTTATACCACAATTTGTTTACCCATTTATCTGATGACAGACATATGTTCAGTTTGAAGCTATGGTTAAAGCCACTGGGGTTGGCAGGTGATGTGGTGGTTGAGGCACTAGATTCTCACATGGCTGACCATGGATTGAGTCCTGGACTTGGCAGCTTGCTTTTTTACTTTCCCTCTCTATCTCTTTCAGGTCAAATTTTAAAATAATAGTAATAAATTAAATTAAATAATTCAAAAAAAAAAGAAAAAGAAAAAAACCACTATAAATATTTGTATATAGGTCTTCATGTGGACATAAATTTCTTTTTCTCTTGGATAAACACCTAGATATGAAATGACTAGATCACAGGGCAGATGTGCATTGAATTTGAATTTTAAAAAAAATGTCAGACAGTATGTGCATTCACTGGAGAGAGATGGAGAGAAAGACGAAGAGAGCATGAAAGCACCTCCCAGGTGCAGCCGTGCTGCTGCAGTCCTTTCGCCTCCATTTCTCCCTCCTCTTGGGATTTTGGGCATGCACACACATACACCCGGCATGTGTTTTAAGCTGCCAGGTCTCAAACCACGCAGAGTGCTGGATCCCACATGGCCAGTGGTGTTCAAATCCCGGTGCTGCTCATTTCCCACTGGGCTGGCATGTACGTGCCCAGGATCTTGACAGGATGGAGAATTACAGGGGAGAGGGCTGCAGCGTGATCAAGACCCTTTGCAGGCTGTTTCCCCCTCTACCCCTTCGTGTGTGCATGCGCTTTCTGCCGTGAATAAAAACAACTGGATAAACCATAGGTTCTGCGGTCCATTTGATCACCCCATTTGCCTGACAGACAAGATGAGGCCAGCAAAAGAGAAAGTCCTAAGACCGTCAGGTGAGTGACCTGCCTTGGCTGCCTGGGGTCTCAAGTCTCCTCTGCAGAAAGCAGAGCTTTGCCATGAGTTAGAGTGAGGAAGGGCATGCCCATCACCCTGGGGCAGGACAGAGCTGTCCCTCAGTCAGTACCTGCCCAGCACCCTGGGATATTTGCCGTGGTGAAATAGGGGCTCCCCTTTGGCCCAGAGACCTGGCAAGTGACTAGTCTGAGCTGGAAACTTTGCAGCCAGGCTCTGCCTTCTCTCCACAGAGGTCATGGTCTCGGTCTCGTACTGTGTACCTGCTAATTAAGTTCTTCTGGAGAATTACCCATGAATCATAAGTGCTGTTTGTTTGGTGCTGTGGAAAGTGCCTCTGGCTATAATCGCATTGTCACAGAAACCATACCAGAAAACCAGGAACAAACTTTAGAGATGAGGGAACAGCTTCAGAGAAGTGCATTAACTCGCCCTTGATCACACAGCTAATTAAGTGGCAGAGACAGCTTTGGAAACCCAGATAAACTAAACCATTCCTCTTTAAGACCCTCATGAAAGTCTTACAACTGGCCAAAAGGAATCCCATTAAAATAAAAGTAACTTTCCAGGACCAGCAGTTGGTGTAATGGCTATGTTGTTGGATTCCCATGTCGTTGACTGTGGTTCAAGTCCCAGGCCAGGTGGCTT